GTATATGTATATACCTTGTTTTCTGGAGTGACCCGCTGATTTCTGCAATCTCTCACACTTCCGTATGATACTGAATAGGTAACTGTAGGTAGGACTGCTTATTATTCAGTGATTAATTTCTTATTATTCCTAGGATCGATGGCTCAGAGACTGCAGCAATCCCTGAGCGCTCTGTAGAACAGGGTCGGGCTTAATGACAGGTGGTCCAGCCGCGGACAGCCACTCACGAAGGTCAAACATTCCCAACACTCATGCTGATGATGTTCACGCTAGTCGCCATATTATTTACGAGCGCATGTTTATCAACAGTTTCTTCTGTTGTTAAATCCGCTGACTTTTTGATTGGTCACCACAAGCGAGGTAAATTCATTTTCCACGGAAGTTTTTCAAGCAGTACTCTTCGAATAAATTTGCCATGTTTAGAAAATGAGCTGGTTCACTGGAACGCACCCCAATACCAAACCACCCCTTCAGACGAAGAAAATTCAGCACGCTGGGAGATTCCCTCCCGAGGTAATGAGCTGTTCAATCTTCCCTGACTATCCTCTTTTCTGTATATATTTAATATGCTGTCGAACGAGTTTGGGCTGCATTTCTTGTGAAAAATTAAAGTGACACTTCGACCTCTGTGGTAGGGATTTGACTAGGAGATACCCCACGACTCGAAGGGACAACTCAAGATGGGGTTAGCGAAATGTTGCGCATAAGCTGAAAAGGAACAGGAGTTGTCGACGACGAGATGCGAGACGCGGCATGGCAGAAGAAGCTCTGAAAGCGAACTTATAGGCGCATCAAAGGCTGATCCGTCCACCCGTCGATCAATCCGCCACCGTAGTATTAGGTTGAGCAAAAATTATCCGCCGTTGTCATTTCACTCATAAGTTCATAACAAAAAAAGAAATAACAATAATTGTGTTATCAACAAACGCTCTTAAACAAACCTCTCTGCAACCGTGATTGATGAAGAAGTTGCAAGCGAGGATGGGGCTCCTGGTCAAGCATGCCGGCTAGCTCCCGACAGCGTTGATCCCAACCCGTCTTTTAGCTGCTGCCACAATAAATAGGCCTTATCTGGCACCCATGCGCCCAGTCACTGATTTGGTACTTTACAGTAACCATAAGCTCATCGCGAGATGAGTCTCACTGGAAAAGTATTTTCAGTGTTTTCGTCATCAAATTCAACTGGGCATCCAAATTTAAAGGCATGCCCCAGGATCACATTGGTGTGGCTCTTGTACACGAATGCGAATGTATTGGTGCGAAGTGGGCCGGCAGTAAAGAAAAAAGGAAAAGAATCCGTCGAAAACGCTTAGGTTAAGGGCTCACTCACCTTCCTAATCGGCTGTGCTAAGGGAATGAGAGACTAAGCGCGGAGAGGAGAGTATGAGGCGAGAGAGCGCTACAGATGAGAGAGCGCCAGACAACAGCCTGATAAGAAAAAATCTGCAGCTTCAGCAGCTTACTTTGCAAGGCCCAAGCGCTCTTGTCGGTTGGTTTCCGTGCACGGAACGCCACATTTGTGATTGTCCTCTAGGGGTCTATACTACAGACCGAAGAGAAGCGTTCACACGACCTCTGCCTGGGTTGTGCCTTTAATCAGTGACCTAAAGTTACGATTTGAATAGAGCAAATGATTTGTGAGGGATACTTTCAATGAAAACGCTTTTTCATTACAGACTGCTG